GGCGCGGGAGGTGGTGGAGGCCGGGGGGGGGGGCTGCCGAGAGCTGCTGCGGGGGGCTGCCCAGGGACGAGAGCCCCCCCGCGGCCGGGGGCTTTAGGCCGCCTGGGTTGTGGGCTCCCAAAGGTGGGGAGGGTGACGAGGACGACGACGACGAGGACGAAGAGGAGGGGGGCCCGGTGGACAGCGGGGGGTACGCGGCCGGGTAGAGAGGGGTCTTCATCTCGGCCATGCTGTGCAGGGCGGCCAGGGGCGGGCTGCTGAGCAGGAACGCGCTCTGCCGGGTGCCCTCCATCGCCCCCACCGCTAACATCCCACGGCCAGGCCGGAGCCGGCTTCTGCGCTGCGAGGGCGCCGGCTGGGGCCCCCGGCGGGGCTCCCGGGAGCCGGAAGCACTGAGGGCGCAAGCGAGGAGCGGCTCTGCGAACCCGGAGGCAACCTGCCAACTGGGCCGAGAACGCCGCCCCCGAGGCTTGCTCTCAGAGCTGGGCTGCAGAAACGTCCACACCCTCCACGCGGGAGGCGGTGGCTCGCGGAGCCTAGCGGGCGTCGGGGTGGATTTGGCTGGCCTTTCGCTCCAGCAGTCCTGGATTCTTTCCCCGGCTCTTCCCTCTTCCTTACTTTGCCTCGCCACTCAAAGTGCGCTTACTTCTTCTCTTCTCCCCCGGGAAATAAGCAAACCAAAACCCAGGCGGGCCCTCGCGAGTTGGTCCCAAAGTTAAGAGTCACCAGTCGGCTCACTTTCGGAAGTTCAAAAGACGCCGGGTTCCGCCGGTTGCGCTTCTCTGACCTTACTCGGACGCTCTCTAGCCCCGAGGCTGATTCGCACTAGAGACTCGCTTTGCGCCGGGAGGGAGCGCATCCAGCCCGCGCGAGGATCTGGCCTCCGGGCGGGCTTCCTCCGCCGGCGCTGCCCGGGGCTGCTGCGCCAGGAGGGGCAATGCCACCAATCCCCGCGGCTCCGGGATTCGGCGCGCTGACCCGCCTTCCCCTCTGGGCCACAGGACACTACAGTTGTAGTATTGGAAAGGAAAAAAAAAAAAGAGAGAGAAAGGCGAGAACACGGAAAAACAAAGTCTAAGTGAAAGTCTGACGGTTCTGCGGCGGCTCCGCGCCGCCGTCCACTTCTGCAGCCCCCCGTCCCCTTCTGCAGCCGGGCCTGGCGACCCCAGCCCCACCCCCAGCGCCTCGTCCTCTCACTCTCCGCCTTTGGTTCTCCTCGCTCGCATTTTCTTTACAGGCTTCGCTCTTCTAAGTCCTGTGCTCTGGCACAACTGACCCTCTCCGCGGCTCTTCCACTGTCTCGCTCCCTCTTCTCCTCTCTCCCTCCGGGCCTGACAGTTCGGATGAAGCTCTCAAAGGTAATAAAACATTTGCATCACTCTCTACCCCTCTTTAGCTGGGGGACGAAAGGGAGGGGGAAATGGGGGGCCAAAATGAGAACTTTGAGGGACGTCACTCCGGGGCGGCCAGGAGGGGCGGAGCAGAGGAGCGGAGCGCAGGCTGGGGGCGTAACCGCCGCCGCCAATAGTGCGCAGCCTCGAGCCTCGCGGCGGCTCGGGGACACGCCTACTCGGGAGCGCCGCGCACGCTGATTGGCAATCCGTAGTGCCACGCCCGCCTAGTTCCCGCCCCCTCCCTTCTGATCCTCCCTTGGGCGGGGCCTGGAGGGCGGGGCCTGACGCTTGGTGCGGTTCCTCCTTAGGTTAGCTGCCGCCTCAATTAATTGTGTTAAATAAAATGGGAAAGGGGAGGGGGAAGCAGAGACGGAGACGCTATTACTTTTTAAAGAGAAGAATAATGAAAATCCAGCCCTTTTATGGAAAAGCAGTTCATATTCTTCCCTTGTTTCCCCCGTCGCCCGCTCGCGTCATCCTACCCCCTTCCCCCACCAGCTCTGGAAGCCTCACCTCGAACCGAGCCTGGTCCCTTGTAAAATGGAGCTAATGGAGCAGGCAGCCGCCTAGCCCTGGCCTGGCTCCTGCTTTTGAAGGGATTAATTAAAGGCCATCTGGGCTCTCCTAGAATTGTATAAATTAATTTGTTGCTCCTTAAGCCTATAGATGTCCTTAATCCCCTTGTAGGCCGAAGATCGTCCTCTTCCATCTTTCCGCCTCCCGCTTTCCTTCGCTGTTCTTTTTCCTTCGCTTTTCTTTTCATTCCTGGGTCCCCCAGCGATGGTTATCATTTATAAGTTCACTCAATTCTCTGGGAACAGTATGAGCTTCATGAAAATACGTATAGCTCATATTATAGGACAGCAGCGAGGTTTTTTTTTGTTTTTTGGTGTTTTTTTAAAACTGTTCCCCTCTTTGATGATTTGGTTTTGGTTTACATAGGGACAGAAATCACCAAAATTTACGCAGAGACTTTAGATACAGAAGTATCTGAGTAACTGGCACCCTTCCATCCCTGATCCCTGGATCCTTGATCTCAAATCCAGGGTTGTTTAGGGAGATGCAGATATCCCGGCTTCTGGGCTGTGGTTTTGGGGTGTCTAGCGTTTAGGAGTTGGACGGGTTTCCTTTACTTTCAGTCTTTTCCAACTCTGGTCTTTAAGTTCCTGGCAGGATTAAACCGTGTACCCAAGGAGAAAAATTCTGGACAATTTTGAAGAATCAGGATATTAAAGTAACACCCTGGAGAGGAGGGGTCACGACAGCAATTTAGATGAATTCAAATCCAAAGTATTGCTCAAAAACCAAATGGATGCAGTAAATGGCTCAGAAGTGCATCGTGAGCCCCTGACGGATGGATGGAGTTGGGCTGAGTGCTGGTGCGCTTACCGGTCCAAGCACGGGAAGCTTGGAGGGCTTGCTCCATCAGAAAACCTTCGTCTCTCAGGCTGGAGTTTGAACTGTGTTTGTTTTCCCGCTTTTATTCACTCCTGAGATAGAAATATGTTATTTAATCCTCCTCTTTCTTCTTCCACGCTTCTTAATCATTTCGAGTCGGAGTTAAATCCGTCATTTCATAGACTCTTAAAATCTGACCTGGGGGAAGACGAACGTGAATTACGCTAAGGAATTGGACAAAGACTCGCCCCAGACGGAGCTGACGTGGGGCGTGTGCGTTTACCCGCGGGGTCCCCTGCTGGGGTTTAAGCCCGAGGGAGGAGGGCGGTGGGCGTAGTGACGGCGCTGGCCCCTGGCACGGGAGTGCTAATGCCTCTTATCTTTCTTACAAACAAAACTTTGTCGCCTCGGGAACCTCCACGTCGGCGGGGACATCCAGTCTCCCTCTTGGACCCTGAGCCTGGGCCTCCAGCGACCTCGCCACTTCTTCTAGGACCCTGCATTCTCAACGACTACGTAGGACTGAGAGGAAAAGAGGCTGGTGATCCCCAAAGAGTCCAATTGCAAAAAGCGACACCCCACTCCCCTTGATCTCATGTAAATATTGCGACCTGGGGAAAAGGTGAGTATTTTCCTCTTGTGAACTTAGTACCTGATCGTGGGGGAGGGGAGTATTAACACAGAAAATTAAGGGAGAGGTTCAACCCAGCGCAACGGGGTGGGGGGGCACTGCTCTGGGTGGATCCGTTACAAAGCTGGGTGTAAAGACATCTCTATCGTTCGCTGGTATGCATTGTTCATAATTCTGAACTAAAACAGAAGCGCTGTTCTTAATTATAACAACAACAAAAAGTCTGGGGTCGGTGTACCTTATCCCTGGGGTAAGCCGCGAGCCCCCGAATCCCGCGGGGCCAGCGCGGCCCAGACACACCCGGCGGCTGGAAGCCTGCGTTCCGGCAGGTGCCGGTGGTCGCGGCAGTGCTCCATCTGGCTCGGCTCGGAGCGGAGACGACCAGGGCGCCCTAGTTCCACTGGGCGCTGCCCCTGACACTCGCCGGGAGAGACCGCCCTGCGGGTGGCTGCAACCGCGGAGCTAAAACCACCTTCCGGACCCGAGTCCTGAACAAGCTGACGCCAGTGCCGGCGCGGAGGCCGACTGGGGTCGCAGCAGGCTTACACAGCTTTCACACGGCCTTGAGCGTCAGGACCTGTTCTTCCTTCGGGTCCCCACCCTTCTTTTTCCTGCCCGCGACCTAATAAAGCCTCAGACTTTTCCAGGCATCCCCCAGGAGTCGTGGAACCTGACACGTGGTCACAGCGACCCCCGCGCATCTGTACACCCTATTTTTGTATGTTGGGGGGGGGCATGTTTAAAAGCGAGTGATTTGCATTTTAATTGAAAAAGAAACGAAAGCGGTGGGGTGAATTAGGTTGCAAGAAGGACTAACAGGCAGAGGTGAGGAAGGCGAGGGGTTTGTCTCCCGACTTTGAGCCTCAAAAGGACTAGCTGTGCTCTCAGGTTGCTTTCAGCTTGCTGCTTGCGGCTGCCCGGTATGTAGCCTGCGCCAACCATTTGACCTCCCTACCCAAGGCCTAACCCTTGACTGGCAGAGCTGAGCGCCTTTTGATACTTCTGTTTTAAGGGAACAGACACGAAATCTAGGTTAACTCGCAGAAGGAATGGAAATGAAACTTCAGCTAATGCACTTACACTCCACAGTCGGGTTGAGAAGGTAACGGTCCTGCCCCATACATGAGTGTTCAATGTCTGAATTCTCATGTGTTACTGCAGAAAGTAAATTCCTATACTTGCAAAAACAGGCAAGTGGAAACGAAGGGAATTCTGTGTGTGTTCCAGGCCAGAGACCTCTCTTAAATGTGTGTGCTTGACTTGTCTTGATGCCTTCCTTAACCTCACTTTGCCCAAGGAGTGGGGCCTATGTGGGTTGAACCCAGAGGTCTTCTGGGCTTTAGTGAATGTACAGAGAGCCAATGCGTAGGAAGCGTAGGAATAAACAGGAAAACCTCCCTAAGCTTGGCCGGATCAGCCCTAGAGCAAGGTTTGAAGAGTCTGTCTGACTCTTTTTGCTTCCTGAAAAGCAGTGGGCTGGGAGCTGACCCTTGATGGCTACTTAGGCTGCCTGGGAATCAGGAAGGCGGGAAGGACTGTGGTAGACAGAGGCTAACTGCCTGACCATGCTGTAGGATCCTGAGGTGAGTGCTTTTTCATTGGAGGCCAGCACCAATGTGAAGAAGCCGCTGGTGTAGACAGACGGTTCTGCTATCAAAAATCTTGAACCTTGTGACAGGACCTTCAGAGTCACAGCATTGCACCCCACCACAGTCACAGAATACATATGTGGGTTGTCTTAGGAATTAGGCATGCGCGCTGAGAAGTCAGAGAAGCTAAAATTACTGAAGTTCAGAATTACCTGCAATACCAAAACAAGTTCAGGAATGAGAGCAATGCAAACAAACGAAAATAACCTAGTAGAGAAAAAATTGGTCTTGAGCTTCAGCGAAGCACATGCCATCAAAGACAGATAGATAAACAGATATCATTTTTTAAAATGCAATAAGAATAATCATTCCTCACCCCAAGCATTTTTTGCAGAGATCCGTTTTCTTCCAAGGAGTGCACTTACTTTGAAGTATATTCTGGAATATAGTGACCACTACAGAATTATGTTTTTGAAAGAATGTCTACTGATTTGCAGAATTTCCTTACAGAATGAAATACTAATCCAGCTTTAATGCACCGTATTAAAAGATATCTGATGTCAACAGCCATGAAAAACTTATACCTGTATGCGTAAGTCCACTGAACATAGTTTTTTTCAACAACTTTGCAAACCAGTTCCTCTTTATCTTCTGCTAAAACTTGCTGCTTGTGACTTGAGTGTGTGTGAGTGCGTCAGTGCGGGCCTTTTCGCTGCCTCGCGCCCGCAGCTCCTTATTCTTCCATGAGGAAAAAGTTGTTTGAGATGCGGCTTCGCTTAGAGCCTCAGTCCCTTTCGTGAAATTCTGAACGGTTAGCGCCCCCTTGTGGAAAAGACTTCTTAGTGTCTCACATGTTCTACCCAAGGCAAGGCCGCCCAACGGAGAACACTGGATGCATTTCCTCAAGGAAGCAGCCTGCCTTTGTGTAACTGCTGTGCTATTTAGCATTTACCTCAATTTCATCCGAAATGGCCAATTCACAAAGTGAAGTATGGATAGGGCAGTTCTTGCTTTAACTCAAGTAGCAAAATCCTTCTACAACGAACATTTGGAGCTTAGACCTTTCTTCTCCATGTACGTCTCTTTTGGCTCCGTGACTAGACTCCCTAGTGATAAAGTAAACTCAGCGTTTACTGGAATTATTTTAGTTTTCTGATTTTCTCCTCTAATTATTGAAATGGAACATTTGCTCACTACAGAAAAAAATATTTGGAAAGTATAGAGCACTAGAAAAAAATCAGAGTCATCCATAAGCCTGTCTTCAGTAGCAATCACTGTGATAATCTGGAATATTTGCTTCCCATCTTTTTGCCACTCTTTAACCTACACTTAGTTTCCCTGCTGTAGAGTATAACATTGTACTTATGAGTTGTTTTTTCTTTTCTTTTCTTTTCTTTTTTTTTTTTTTTTAAGATTTTTGCCATAGGACCTGTGTGCGCACTGGAGAGAAACAGAG